ACGCTATCAATAATGCTACCTATACAGTCAAGAATAAAAATCCCTATGGCATCCCAGAAGAAATTAAATCCCTTATACAAGAAAGAAATAGACTTAGAAAAAGATGGCATATTACTCGCAATCCTACTGAAAAAACGTCATATTAATTATTTAAACAGAAAAATAAAAGAAGACATCGCCACCCATCGATCAAATTCGTGGGATAATTTCCTAGAAAACATGGATCTTTACCCAAACTCTGTTTGGAAAGTAGCTAAATCACTCAGAAATCTTTCACCCAATCAAATTCACCCCCTGTATCACATGGGCAAATTTCACCACTCCGAAGACTCCATTGCTGAAATTCATGCAAAAGAATTAGAAAACATTTTAAACAACATGAAAATAATAAATTCTGATCACGAAAAAGATATTAATTACTCTGTCAATAGCATCCTCAACAGTCCCAGCATTAATTTTTTTACGCCTGCATCTCCAAACGAAGTTCAGCAAATTATTAAAAAATTAAAAGAAGCGCAAAGCTAAAGGATATGACATGATTTCTAATGAAGCGTTGCAAGCTTTACCTAGAAGATGCATAGTCTTAATTACAAATATTTTTAATGCTTGTATTAGACTCAGCTACTTTCCATCGCAGTGGAAACACTCGATCATTGTTACCATCCCGAAACCAGGAAAAGATCCAAAGCTAGCAAAAAATTACAGACCCATCAGTCTTCTGCCAGCGCTTGGAAAAGTTTTCGAACGAGTACTTAGTGCTCGGCTCACCAATCATCTAGAACGCCTTAATCTAATAGACAAGCATCAATTTGGATTCCGCAAAGGCCACATTACCACATATCAAATACTAAATTTAGTTGTATTTATTGCCCAAGAATTTACAAAAAAGAATGGAGTAGCGGCATGCTTCCCTGATTTCGAAAAAGCTTTCGATCGAGTGTGGCATGCTGGCTTACTTCATAAGCTGTCTAACTTCCTTTTTCCAAACAGCTTTATAAAGCTTATGCATTCTTATTTTAAACATCATCGATTTCAAGTGCGCTGTGGTGAAGCAATCTCTTCAAAAAAAAAAAAAGTAAGATTTACAGTGGAGTAGCTCAAGGCAGTGTTTTAGGACCGAAGCTTTTTACAATATTCATAAATGATATGCCTCTACCTTTTCATTCTAATATACTCAAATATGCCGACGACACAGTCATCCTCACCAGTTCACGAAGTCCAAATAATGCTTTAGAGAAACTTCAGCTCCAAGTCAACATTATTAACAAATTTTGTCAAGACTGGAAAATCAAACTAAATACTGATAAATGCTGCGTAGTTCTCTTCCGCAGATACAGAAAAAATATCCCAGTGAATATAAATATCCGACTCAATAACCAAGATATTCCTGTTGCCAACTCCTATAAATACTTTAGGTGTCTATATTGACAAAACCCTAAATTTCAAAGATCATATTCAATATGTTACAAATAAGGCTAACGCTGCTTTCATTGCTCTCTACTCATTAATTGGAAGAAACTCTAAGTTAAACCTCCGTACCAAGAAAAATATCTAGATCTCACTTATTCGCCTAATAATCCTCTTATGCAGTTCCAGCCTGGGCTACTGCCCGAAAAATAGACAGACAAAAATTAAATGTTCTTCAAATCAAAATCTTACGTAGCATAGTGAACGCACCCTGGTTCGTGCGAAATTCTCAAATTCACAAAAAAAAGACCTGGATATCAACCCAATTCACGACCAAATCCTAACTTCTGCACACAATTTCTTTGAAGATATGAGAAATTCTCCTTATGAAGCTATTAAATCGCTTACAGACTATGACCCTACTATTGAGCACGTAGTGAAAAGACCTCGAACGATCCACCACAATTCTAAGTGGTGGTAGTGTATATATTTTTTAAAAAAAAAATTATTTTACTACTACTCTTCAGTTACTATTCAAGAAAGATGAACTTTGCAAAGTTAGGACTTTATTTTTCATCGATGAATTCTTCGTTTTACTACTTATTTAACCAAGATTTTACTTTTACTTTTTATTTTTACTATTTCGTATCGTGTGTTTTAAAATCAAAGTTCGTGGTAACACCAAGTGCTTACTCTCACTCATTAGCCCTAGTGAGCCATATGACCTCATTTTCGCCCTTTACAGTTTCCTATTCATTTAATGATTATATCGCAAGTTTAGATGATTTTCAAGTGTTTCAAAAGACATAGACTCATTTTACTATGTTTGAACTTTATTTATTTCCAAAAACTACAAAAAACTTCATTTTTCGAATTCTGACTCCTCGATCAGTCTTAATGCCGGACGCTGATCACGTGTTTCTGCTCTTCCAGAAGCTTAGACTTTCATTTCGCCTCTCGCCGCCATTGATATAATCACACATGATATGCCATGATATGCAATCTAGCAAAACATATTTTATGAGTTCTCTCATTTATTTATCTCGCCTTCGGGCGAGGTGTATTTTTAAATACATCTCTTAAATTTTTAACTTTATGGCCTATGGTATAATGATAATATACTGCTAAGAGCTCCTAGTAGCTAAAGCCAGCAGTAAAGATATGATCCAAGACCCATGATGTACGTACGTACAGACACCACGAAACAATATATCTTCTGAAAGCATTTTAAATCAATTTTATAATCCGGTTGGGAATAAAAACGAGTCCTATATTAAGTTCTTACGTACGGATGTCAAGCGAAAACATCGTTAAATTGCATTCGATAGCGGTCAAGTTGGATATTTTCTTTGAAATGTGATATAGAGAATTTTTCATGATTACAATACTTCCTTTACTTCGTACAAAGAAGTAAAAAATAAAACTTTATCTAAACTTGTTTATAAGCATAGAATTAAGACTTAGACGACTTCACACAGAAAGAAAAAATTAAAAATCTATTTCAGAAAAGTCTCTTTTTATTCTTTTTAACGGCAATTAATTTTTATTGAAATACAACATGATAAATGAAAATATCTGATATGGACACCACATGACTTCCTTGTACGGACTATTAAATTACACGCACATTTTGTTTCACTTCATTTAAACGTATTTCCTCGAAATTCATTAGAGATATTTTTCTCATTCATTGAATCAGTTCAGTTCTCACTTCCTTGTAAAACAAAAAACATAAAAATTCAAAACAACTTCACTAAAATTTGTAAAATAGGGAAAAACCTAAAATGCAAAAGACAATTAAAACAGTTTAATTTTTTTTTCAATTAAAATTAGAATTTCAAGCGCCAAAATTCGGCCAGCAGGCAAGAACACAAAATTTTCGGTGCGCAAAATTGAAAGTTAACTTTTGCTTCCATTGGCAGAAAGAAAAGACACACTTCGTACAAGGAAGTAAAAATATAAAACTTTATTAAATTCACTGTTTTACTAAGAGTTTCAAATGTAAATTTATGGCGGCCCCATTAGGGTTAGCGTCACTTTTAAATTTTTGATAATTTTACAACTATTGCATGCAGAGTAACTAACGGCATAAAAACCTTAATCGGAACATAAGAACAACCCAATTCAACCTAATAGCAAAAAATGCACAATTAACCAATATATAAGGATAAAAAAATCCTGAGCACACTGATCCGAGTAGCATAGTGAGAATACATGTATGTTAAGACCGATTGGAACGAAAAAGGGAGGTGCTCACTGGATGATATTGCAGTCCCATATAAAAAAATTCAACGTTCCATTTTAAACCCATTTTACAATCCGTTTTAGGACAAGGAGCCGTTTATTCTGTCCGTACGTGCAGATGTCACGCAAAAACATCATTCAAATGGATTCGAGAGCTGGCAAAATAGATATTTTCATTACACCACGAAGGCATGTTAAGAAGGCGGAAGAAATAACTTATAATATGATCTCCCAAATTTTTCTAAATTTCAATACTTCTTGTACAAAGAAGTGAAATTAAAATTCTATTAAAATTCTCTCATTAAGTATTTATTGTTTCCGGAAACGTACTCAGCAGAGTCATTCCTAGAGTTTTAGAGAAATACATTTACGGTATCAAATACTTATTATCTACTGCTTGGGAAAGCGATAATGTTGCACTGCGCTACACTGATAACTGAAAACCCATAGGCCATAAGTCATAACTTCATAGGTTACCGACGGATACTGGTAATCATAGGGTTGACGTTTACGGTATCGTTCTTTTGCAGTAAACGCTGTTCTTAGGTTTCATTTAATTTTAACAGTTTATCTCAATTTAATACAGTGATTCACGGCAGCGACATTATGGGATGACCGCCAGTAATCATAAGTTAGAAATAACCAACGCAAATGTCACTAGCAATCATCTTGGAGGTCACTAGTGAACAACAATTATTATGGATACAAGTACTCTTCAATTCAATTTTGTTTTTAAAGCATCTTTAGCTTTATTCCATGCCTCATACTAATGGTTTGGTTTGGTTTACTTAATTATGGCAAAGCACTTTTCGACTATTTGTGTAAAGAGAGAGATGCCTTTCTGGACGACTTTCTGAGGCAAACTAGCCGTACCTACTTTATACATGGGGGAAAACACGAAGGCGTTCATGCAGCAAACTTCTTTCCTGGGGTTCGAACCCTCACCGAACTGCCAGTACAGCGAGTTTGCCGCTTGGCCATTGATGAAACCAAACAACCTAGGGATTATTAACCCCTAGTACCTGTCAATCTACAGATCACTGGTATTCAATATCCTTGTTTTTAATTTTTAATTAAAAAATCGGTTTAAATTTATTGCAGCCCCTCAGATTAATGATGCATTAGTCATTGATCCCTAGTCCCTAGTCTCGAATTTTGGCCTACGAAAAAATACAGTTCTCCATACTTTTCACTTATCTAGATGTACTGCGGCTCGACTTAGTCCGACTAATCAAAGTTCTATGGCACTTAATTGCATGCTGTTATAACGCTTTTAACAGTACAGTACTGTATTTTCTTTAATCAACGTTAAGCTAAAACTTACTCTAATATAAAAATAACAATGTTACTTCGTGTATCCATGTGAAAGTTCTGCGTTTGCCTCATGACTCTGGAACAGGTGTCTTTGTTGTCACAAATGGCGCCATCCGTATGGTGGATGAACACGTGCTCTACAGGAGTCCTCATGATTTGTCTGGATTTCGGAGGTCTGGCACCCCATGCAGCTCTCGTTACAATCTCCGGACATGCTGAAAAATTGGGTAAAAGTTCCCAATTAATATAAATATTGTTACGGATTTGGTATTTAAATAGCTAATGTTAGTAGAATTATAAATTAAATTGTCTTATTCCCCGTGCAGTGCAGCGCGTGACGAATATTAAAGGAAAGCTAAGCCAGAAAATTAAAATACAAGAGCAAATGCATTTAACATTTAATAAATAAATATCTGTTTTTGATTTCGAGAAATTGCTAGAACAATTTCGCGTATGATTTAAAAAGCTTATAAAAAGGAGGAAAACCTTTAGATTCAGTTATTTTCTTTAAGAGTTTGTTTAGAAAACTGCTCTTGTTGACTGTAGCGAATTCGCGGATTAGCTTTCTGTAGCTGTTTTGAATTAAGTTCTGTTGAATGTTTGAGTAGTTAAAAGATAACTACTGTGATAGATATTGAGACATTGTAGAATTTTTCTGGAGAAGTTCAAGTATTTTGTTTTATTTGTTCTGGCAATGATAAATTTTGTTCATTTTTCATCGGACTTGTGCATTCATTTTATAACGAACCCGCACTCACGCAACAATATATTTTATTATTAAAAAGTTATATAAACGTATATGTCAAAGTACAGCGAATCTTCTCTCGGTGGCCACTTTCCAGAGAAGACCACATCTAAAGGGTGTCTCAAAAAGAACGCCGGATTTGAAAAGCCCGTTATTTTTATTTGTCGTTGGCAGCATTGTTTTTGCATGTTTTGTTATCATTGAGGTTATGTTTTGATACTGTGCTTTTGTTTTCCAGGTTAATGTTGGTGGTGTATAGTCATGGAAAGATACAGTACGGAACAGTGAGTGTTGATTGTGAAAACTCACTACAAAAATGATGAAAGTTTCGCGGAAATCATTCGAAAACTCCGTACGATTAGGGGACACAACAATGCACTAAATGAATCTATTGTTCGTAGGTTAATCAAAAAAAAAAAAAAAAAAAAAAAAAAAAAAAAAAAAAAAAAAAAAAAGCCCAACAGCAGACATCAAAAGGCCGGCACGCCCTCGAAGTGGAAGGAGTGAGGCAAATGTTGCATATGGGGATCAGAGAATCCAAGAGTAATTCAGGAAAAAGACATGCATCCTCAGCGAGTTCCGGTTTGGTATGCAATTTGGAGTGGGGAATCGGTCCTTAATTTTTTGATGATGACCTAGGAAGGGCTGTCACGGTGAATGGAGTGCGTTAACCTGCAGTGCTCACTAATTTCTTTTCACTTATTTCTTTTGGTTGGATCAAATGAACATCGAAAATTTCTGGTTCCAACAAGACGGTGCAACTTGCCACACTTCAGGAGACACAATTGCTCTGCTGCGTGAGAAGTTTCCAGACAGACTCATCTCGTTACGAAGAAACCAAACCTATCCACCTCGATCTTGTGACCTGACACTTTGTGACGTTTTCCTATGGGGGTACATAAGTCGCGAGTTTACAAAAATAAACCCGGTAATCTGCTAGAACTCAAACAAGAAATTCAACGGGTTCTTAACGAAGTTGATGGGGAAATGTGTAAGCGAGTGATGGTTAATTTCATGGACAGAACGATTGCTTGTAGGGCTACCAAGGGGATCATATGACCGATATTGTGCTTCACGTATAATCTCAACATCTCCTGAAAAGAATGGTGTGTTTTGTTTGCTTCTTTCAAATAAATAAATTCAATTTATAGTAGATTCAAATCCGGCGTTCTTTTTGAGACACCCTATAGAAGTGAGATTTAGGGAGGGATTTATTGTAAAGATTAATAAGACTGCAAAATAGCTAAAAAGTCCATTTGATTGCGTTACTTATATAAGGAATGTGTTTAGTAGTCTTGTTTTGGCCTCCTCGGTGATTGCGGTGATTTGTGCCCAGAGGGCGCACCGCAGAGTTAGTTGCGTTACAGAACGGAAGCGGACACGCCAAAATGTCGGGCGTATAACCACTAATTGAGGTAATTGCATCGTATCTGTCAGGTGGCAGAAAACTAGTATGATGTATCAATTCACATGCCAGGTGGCAGAATATGTCTATCATGTACATGCCAGGAGACATAACGCTTGTAAATATGCCAGGTGGCATACGACTTGTAAATAAATTGTAAATAAATGTACAGTAAAATATCTTGGTGCAATAGATCAAGGAACAAGCATCAACAACTTTCTGATCTTGTTGTATACGTACATTTTTTTTGGTGACACCGGCCTTGATTTGTGGAGATGAAGAATAGACGAAGAAAATTAGTGAGTTCATGACTGAAAAGCCAGGATTTAACGTGAAGAAATTCGAGGTAGGCCCTTTTTCATTTTTCCAGTTTTGAATAGAATTGTTGAATAAAAATCTTGGTGATTATTATAGTTGATAGAATCTAATGGTAAAATGGAGGCTATGAATAAGGCAAAGAAGTTGCGTACGGTGACGCGTAACTTAACTACTAAGTTGATGAGTAAAATAGATTCTGCATTGTTAGAAGAGGGTGAAACCGCGGATGAGAAATTAAAAGAATTACTCGAAATGTTACTTGAAAAATCGCAGTTGTTGAAACAATACGATTCTGAGATTGAAAAACTTGTAATTACGGAACAGGAGTTGGAAACAGAAGTAATTTCCGCGCAGGAATATCATAAAAGAATTATAAGTTTTAAATGTAAAATTCAGGAAAAATTAAGAAAAAACGCGTGTAAAGTTGAATCTAGAAATTCTAGTGAGGAAACTATATCTCCGAAGTTGAAAACTTGTGAAGTTAATACTTTAAAATTGCCAAAATTAACGATTACAAAATATTACGGTGATCCTTGTTCTTGGCTTGAATTCTGGAATCAGTTTAGTAATTCCATTCACCAAAACGAAAGTCTCAGTTCGGTTGACAAGTTTTGTTATTTAAAATCGCTTTTGGGAGGTTTAGCTTTAAATGCTATTAGTGGATTAACATTTACTAGTGAAAACTATACGGTGGCTGTTGATATACTAAAAAACCGTTTCGGCAGAGATGACCTGCTAATTAATGCGCATATGAATAAATTGTTGAGTTTAGAACCTGTAAAATATTCCGGAAATACGGCTTCTTTGAGGAAGCTTTATGACGATATAGAAATACAAATAAGAAATTTAAATTCTTTAAATGTTACTAGTGGTTCTTATGGACATTTATTATCCCCTATTTTGTTAAATAAGAATTCACTAGGAAAAGAAACAAAATTTCGATGTTAATGAACTACTAACGTTCTTGAAAACGGAAGTGGAATGTAGGGAAACATCAATGATATTAGCGCGTTCCAAGAATTTTGATGTAAATGAAACATCAATACGAAACAAAAGTTCCCATCAAGGTTATCAAAATAAATCTTACATGCATTCTAAAAGAAATGATTACAGTACGAATAAGCAAGGTGCTTCGGTATTAACTAGTCAAAGCGAAACTCCCTCTAAATACTTTCAAAAATCACATTTTAATCCAAAATCGAAAGTTCTCTACCCCGCCTAAGAAAGAGAATCAAAATGTCTGCATATTTTGTTTATCTGCTTGTCATATGAATCATGATTGCGCACTTGATTTAAAGGCTCGCCGAAAGGCATTAATGGATCGAGGTTTATGTTTTATTTGCTTTTCGAAAGGGCATCCAAGGCGTTTCTGTGCTCATAAAGATGAAAAATGCAGACTGTGCAATGTCCAAGGTTTACATAATTCGTTAATATGTGACGCCGCATCGAAAGATTTAGAGACGGATACTTCCAATCAGACAAAACAAACGCCAATCCCTGAAGCTTCTCTTTCGCTCTTATGTAATGAAAATAATAACAAAATTAAACCACCGACTTCCGTTCTTTTACAGACGTTTTCGGCAACAGTTAGGTGTAAAGGGGGGAACGAAAAGGTATTACGTTGTATGCTAGATTCAGGGTCAACAAAGTCATTCATCTTACGAGAAGTGGTTGATTCACTGGGGTTGAAAATTATTAATAAAGAAGCGCTTATTATTTTCACATTTGGATGCAAAGATGCAAAAGAGCGCTTGTATGATATCGTAGAAATCGTATTGCAAAATGTAAGCCATCCCAATAAAAAGATAAAAATTAACGCAATAGTCATTGATTCTATAACACTAGGGCAAGTAAAAGTTCCTTCTCGGTGGATACGAAAGATGGCGTTTGAGAAGGGAATAGAATTAGCAGATGCTGGTACGAGTGACGAAATTCAAGTATTAATAGGTTCGGATTATATTTGGGAAATTTTAGGAGAACGAAACGTGAAGATTTGTAAAAAATTAGTCGCAACAGAAAGCACTTTCGGTTTTGTGATTCAAGGCAAGGACGAAGGATCAAAGTGTAAGGACGCAAGAGTTAATCATATAACCGTTGTAAATGAGGACTTAGATTATGAAAGAGTTAAAAAATTATGGGAATTAGAAGCAATTGGGATAAGTTCGGATAAAGAAATATCTCTATCAGATAAAGAAATTTTAGAGTCATTTGAACGAAATACAACTTACAAGAATAAAAGGTATGAAACTCGATTATTGTGGAAAGAGGGTGTTGAAGGTTTAAATAACAATTATGAAATCGCGAAACCAGCGTTTACAATTTTTAAATAATAAGTTTCAGAAAAATAGCGAGCTATATTTAAAATATAATGAGATAATTAATGAACACTTGAGAGATGGTATAGTGGAACGGGTAGATACGTATTTAAATAGTAGTTTGAAAACGGGGTATTACATGCCTCATCACGCGGTAGTGCGCGAGCAGAAGGATTCTACAAAGGTTCGAATAGTTTTTGACGCTTCTTCTAAAAGTAAGGGAAATTTATCACTTAATGATTGTTTGGAAAGCGGACCTAATTTAAATCCTGATTTGCTAAAGATTATCATTAAATTCAGGGTACATTCAATTGCGTTTTGTGCCGACATTCAGCGTGCATTTTTAGAGGTAGGCTTAGCTAAAGAAGATGGGGATTTTTTAAAGTTTTTGTGGATAAATGAGGAGAAGGGTCAAATCTCGATCACAGTAAT